GAACTACCATGCCCTTGTCTGAAAAATGGGGATATCTGAAAAATTTTCAGAATCAATGAACACCAATTATCAGAGCTAAGGAAAACCAACTAGAACAAGAGAGAAGTTACACTTAAACATACTGTAGTAAATCTGTAGAACATCAAAGAAAAACATAAGGTCTAAAGAGTTGATAGAGTTAAAGACAGATTATAAACAAATAAGAATTAGTCTGATTGTGGATTCATCGACAGCAACAACAGAAATCCAGAAGAGTATGGCTGGAAGAAAGTTAAAAGAGTTTTTATTATATATGTGGCTAAAGTGTTCGTCAAGATGGCAGACAAAGAAAAGGCATTTTTTTGAAAGAAGAGCAGACTCCTACTCATTCTTTCTTTCCTCACTGACAGGACCTCAGTTTTATTTGGGGTGACTATGTCCTTAGATTAAAAAATTTCATGTCCCAGACTCCTTTGCTGCTAGGGTGGTATTTGATAGTTCTAGCCACTGGGGCAAAAGATTAGATGCAGGAAGGATTTCTGGAAATGTTGGGAATCCCTGATGCCTTGTTTTCCTGCAATATGTGCTGTACCCTACTTCCTCTCTTCCGTTTTTTCCCACCTGATGCCGAACGGGGAACATAGTGGCTGGAGTTGCAACAGAGACATCTTATGTTTTGAGGCAAAGGCTGAGGAAACCATAGAAACCTTGCCCTGTAACTACTTAACTCTATACTTTGTTACATGAAGGGGGAAAGGGGGGCAGTTTTTAAAGCTACTATTTCAGTTACTCATAACTGAACACAATCCTATTTGTTACAGATGAAGAAGAAAGAAAACTTGATTACTAACAAAAATGTGGCTCTATAGAAAACCCAAGTCACTTTTTTAGAAACAATGAAAGTATTCAGAAATACATTAATATAATATACTGAAGTCACTTGTATGTGTATATAGCACCAATGAACTCAGAAAAAATCATTTTTATTTATTTTTTGGCCGCACCACGCAGAATGTTATTAGTTCCCCGACCAGGGATTGAACCCACGCCCCCTGAATTGGAAGCACAGAGTCTTAACCACTGGACCAGCAGGGAAGTCCTGTAATTTTTAAAGGTGTAGTTACAATGGCAGCACAAAATACAAGGTTTCTACAGACAAATCTTATGTAAGAAGTACAGAATCTTTTAGACAAATTTTTTTAATTATCAAAAGCAATTAAAAAGTTCTAATTAAATGGAGAGATACATTATGTTTATGGATGGGAAGACTCAGTTTCATGCAGGAATTCTCTTCCCCAATTGTTCTGGTCTCCCCAAAATAATCTGTAAATTAAATGTAATCCCAATAAAAATTACGATGGAATTGTATGTGTGACACTTGTCACGCTAATGCTAAAGTTTACAAAGAAGAGAAAAAAGCCAGGAATAGCCATGAAAATTTCGAAGAACAAGGTTGGTAGACTCAACACATTTCAATATTTATTATAAAGCTATGTTAATTAAGGCAGTGTGGTATCAGTACAGGAAGAAGAATGTAAGTCAAAGGAAGAGACTAGAGATCAAAGAAACATACCCATGAATATGAAAACTTATGGTATATCACAAATCACTGGAAAAAGGATGATAAATGATGCTAGGGCAGTTGGTTATCAGTAAGGAAAAAAAATTAGATCCCTAACTCATATCATACACCAAAATCAATTTCAGGTGAAAGGAGAAACCTAAAAAAAATCCCCCTCAAAACTGAACTGTGAGAACATCTTTACAACCACAGGGAATAGAAAGATGATTTATGACACAGAAATTACAAATCTGAAAGAAAAAGACTGATAAATTCGACTACCTTTAACTTAATAACCTCTCTGTGTACAAAAATGGCATAAACAAATGGCAAAGGCAATGTATAGCCAGGAGGAAGATCATTAGGATCTGAAGAGCTTCTAAGAATTAGTAAGAGAGAAACAAACAGTCCAAGGGCTAAAAGGGCAGAAGAAAGTAGCAATTCACAGAAGAGGAAACCCACATGGCTAATAACTACAAAAAGATGCTTTCCCTCACCAGCAATCAGAGACCACGATGAAATATCATTGACACTCAGCAGACTGGCAAAAATGATTAAATCTGACAATACCAGAACAGGGTAAGGACGTGAAGCATGGGAACGCCTGTGTACTCCTGAGACGAGTGTACACCGGCACGTCCACTCTCAGAGCTCTATGGCAGCTCTAGTAAAGGTGAGGATGCCATTGCCTATGACGCAGCTGTTTTAGTCCCATGTGTACACAGCCTAGGGAAACTCTAGTGCCAGACACACACCACAGACTGTTCACAGTATACTGCTATGAATTAAAGTATTATAAAATAGAGGTAGCTTCAACAAAATTAGTAAAGATACACTTCTGGATGGTGGTACCACCAGAGGCACTTGTTTTAAACACAGACCATGATGGGAGATACCACAAATTGAAACAGGTGAATCAGACTACTTTCTGATTCATATCAGAAAGTGGCATCATATTTTAGTGTGGGTACAGACAGGGAGAATACCAGCCTCCAGACCACCTGAGGAAGATTTTGATGCATTTCCTTATGAGGACTTGCTTATTCTCCTTGACCCAGGATGTGAGCAACTCCTAAGTTACTATATCTCCTTTCTCCTCCTCTGGGTCCAGCCCTGTCCTGCCACTTTGTAGGGGTGACAGACAAACTGACATCGAGCTCTGCTTTCATAATGACACTGAGTAAAGCAGGACCCTCTCTGTGAAAAAGATCTATCCACGTCTCTCCAAGCCAACATGGTGTCATTTCACAGTTATTTTTATGGCTTTTTAATGAGGCAATATTACCTATCAGAAGACCACATTCATTAGCACTTTTACCACATACCATTGATGAAACACTTGCGTCTCAACTCTGTTGCTTTTCATACCCTGTGAAGTTCCTATTTCTTATTTTCACAGAGTTGTAGAAAAAAAAGTATCTACTTCAAAAGTTGAAGCAATCTGTAAATATATAGGTAAGTAATAGTGTAGAGCATTTCGGCAGGACTGAAACATTATCACAGACAAGAAGATTAAAAGCTCCATCATGCCCAAGGCCCCTTCCTGGACTAAATGTTATTATTCAGATACTGTATGATATCACTTATATGTAGAATTAAAAAATACAACCAACTAGTCAATATAACAAAAAAGAAGCAGATTTGCAGATATAGAGAGAAAACTAGTGGTTACGGGTGGAGGGTGGGCAATATAGGGGGAGGGGAGTGGGAGATGCAAACTACTGGGTGTACGATCGGGATGTACTGCACAACACGGGGAATATAGCTAATGTTTTGTAATAACTGTAAATGGATATAACCTTTAAAAATTGTATAAAACATTTTTATAAGTTTCAATTAGAAAAAAAAAAAGAATTAGGATGTGCATTTTGGTGTGGAATGCAGGGGTTCTGAGGATGTTCTAACGAGCACAGAAGAATCTCTTGTATCCTCCAACTCTTGCCTGTTCCTGTAAGATAAAGGAAGCTATACGGTCAACCCTCCTGTTCACTTTGCACAGTGCCCAGCGTGTCTTGGCGTTGGCCCTGGAAAGTGAGGTCACTACCAGATCCAGAAGGAAACTCACCATTGTCTAGACTGGGTCCTTGGAAAGAATGGGAGCTCCAGACGGTAAAACAACTGTTTTAGGCTGGAAATGTTTTCAAATAAAGCTTCTGATGGGAGCTCATGTCAGTTTCAGCTAACCGCTTCAAAGCCTGTCACACGGATTTCTATGCACTGGAGGAGATCTGTTCTCACCGTCCTTTCAAATTCTGATGAGATTGCCAGACATTTGCTTCAAAATATCTCTAGTTCTTTTCCTAATTGTTTCAGCAATGGCTCATAGAAAGGCCTTTTAAAATATCTTTTAATCTTCAATGTATTTATTTCTTGAAATATTTATTTCCTTGTAGGAACCTCAAAGTTTTACATGTTATAGAGGAATGACATGGTTCCGTATTTTACTTTTTACAACCTTAGAGGTATTGGTCAATCATGAAATAATCCCTTTGACATTCAGTCAAAGCCCTTTGATTAAATTACTGTTATTCTTAGAGACTAGGGATGATTCATTTCATAATGCCTGATGGTTTCTTTTGGAATTTATTTCACGAACAGATCCACCTCATTTTTTGTTCTTTTCAAACCAGACAGTTTTAGTATGACTAGTACTGAGGTACAGTACTGAATACAGTTCATAAGTACTGAAGAACACTTTAAAATTTAGTAAGAACAGTTAATCTTATAAAATCTCAGGTGTTTGATTATAAAAATAACTCTATTTTAGTAAGAATAGCTACTTCTCTGGAAAAGTAAAGTAGGTTTCAGGCGTATGGAATCGCGAAGAAGGCTGGGCAAAGAGTGCTTAAATACGACACTGGAAGTATGATCCATAAAAGAAAAAATTAGACTTCATCAAATTTAAATTAGATTAACTTAATACACTTAGTTAATTAAATTTCAGAAAATAAAAAGATATGCCAAAGACTCTGAGAAAATATTTTCAAATCATATATCTGATAAAGGACTTTTATCCAGAATACATAAGGGAATCTTACAACTCAACATAAAAAAAAAGATAACCCAATTAAAATATATGCAAAAGATCGAAATAGACATTACTCCAAAGAAAATATACGAATGGCCCATAAGCACATGAAAATACATTCAACATCATTAGTCATCAGGAAAAAGCAGATAAAAACCACAATGAGATAACACTTCATACTCACTAGGATGGGAATAATAATACTAACAACAACAAGTGTTGGTGAGGATATGGAGAAACTGGAACCTTCACACATCACTGGTAGGAATATAAAATTGGTACAGCTGCTTTGGAAAATAGTCTGACAGTTCCTTGAAAGGTTAAACATAGAGTTCCCATATGCCTAGCAATTCCACTTCTAATTATTTATCAAGAGAAATTTTTAAAAAAAGAAAGAAAGAAAACCTCCCTCTGTGCAAGGGTTTTACTTACTGACGTTCCACTTTAGGCCTGTTGTCGTAACCTGATTGCATGGCTGTCCAACAGGAATGAGGCCACACCAATCACCTTCCATTCCGGTATCGACATGCAATTTGTGCTTTCCCTGAGGTAGAGAAGGAAGGCTCATTAAGATGCGGAAGGGAAAGGAAGGCCCATTAATGCTCACTGAAGACCTGGCCATACGCACCAGGTACCATCCTAGGAACTTCACATGGTTTATCACACCTAATCCTAACAACATACTTATGTAGTACGTACTGAATTATCCTAGGAACTTTCACCTGACTTAATCCTAGCAACAGTTTTACAAGGTAGTTTATTGTTAATTATTACCTTTATATATCAGAAAATTGAAGTTTGCAGAGATTAAATGTGTCCAGGACCACACAGGTAGCAAGGGGCAGAATCAGAATTCCTACCTATACCTGCCACTTCCAGGATTCCACGTGCTAAAGATATAGCACTAAGTGATACAGAATTCTAGGCTCTTAATCAAACACTTGCTTGAGTGTAAATACAATATTGCTTCCTCAGTAAAATCTCTGCTTTTTATCTGAGAACTGGGCTTCTAACGTTGAGAATTCAGTGTAAACCCTACTAATGGTTAGCCTCTTTCCTATACCCACAGCTGCTCTAGGAGATGCTCAGTGCGGCGTACCTCTACCAGGAAATAGAGTATCTGCCCTGAGAAATGAGTATGCTTCTTCTATTCTGATTATGAAAACTGATATAATCTGTTTTCAATTTTTCAGTTTACAAGAAGGTTAAAGTTAAATGTAATGCTCAATCAAGGCCACAAGCTTTGCTTTTAAATAAAATACTTGGAAATGCCTCTCCTATGAAGTAATGCTTTTCCATTCCTACCCTATTCATTATCCTCAGGGTATACAGTCTTTGTAGAAAGATACCTCAAGTTCTTATGGGAAAATGTCAAGACATGCATGCATTCAATAATAGAGTAAAAAAGGTATTTTTCATAATTCAAATAACTCTGAAGGAATAAGCTCCAAAAGATATTCTTCATTTTAATAAAATATTGCTTTAAAGTGTATTTAATATATGACATATTACCAAACTAAGGTATCTAGGTCTCCTTGTACAGTCATTTTACTTTTATTGCAACTATGCCTTTTGTGCTGTATATTGTAAGTTTCTGAGAACTTATTCTACTGTATCCAGGTCTCAACATGCAAGCAGGATTTGTCTTTTGTCAAAAGATTGCTTTTATTAGGAAAACAATTCCCTAGATTATTATACATATGAATCCTTGTGTTTAACACAAGTTCATTCAGGCATTTACTGCCTGTACAATTCATATACATATATTTCCATTTGAACATTCAATCAGAGGGCACAAATTCAATTAGAAGGGCTTAAATACATTCAAACACAAGGAAGTTTTTTTTTGTTTTGCGGTATATGGGTCTCTCACTGTTGTGGCCTCTCCCGTTGCGGAGCACAGGCTCCGGACGCGCAGGCTCAGCGGCCATGGCTCACGGGCCCAGCCTCTCCGCGGCGTGTGGGATCTTCCTGGACCGGGGCACGAACCTGTGTCCCCTGCATCTGCAGGCAGACTCTCAACCACTACGCCACCAGGGAAGCCCACAAGGAAGATTTTTAAAGAAAATTTAAAATACATTTGAACTTGGTGTCCATCATTGGAAGAAAGGTAGGCAACACTTGTAGATATACACCAAGCAATGGATTAGATGCACACAGAGAAATGTGGATGGATAGAAAACATAGTAGGAAACAGAATCGTGATAAATGACAGAACCTATCTATGTAAATTAAAATAAGTGCAAACATAATAAGGCACTTTTTCTACTAACAAAATTAAAAATGTATATTCATATATACACACACACTAACATGTTTGCGTAATGGGAAATGATATAGGGACAAAAGGGAAGCAATGGATCAATCAACCAATGAGGATTCTTGCCTGGACCAGAGATGGTAATGTGCTATGAACTAATGAGTATTACTGACCCAACACTGAAATCTCATAAAAATAAAATAACAAATACATACTTTAGATATGAAGTGATACAAGATTTAGAAATTCTTAGACTCTTCTGAAGGAAAAAAAGAGAAAATATTCTAATAATTCAGTAATTACTAATTACTAAAAACAGTAATTCAAGAAAGGAATAATTGGGAGACAGCCATGGGAAAAACTCAGGAGCGAAATAAAAACTTATCTCATTCTTGAATAATGATCTTTGGTGTTTTTCTTTTAGTGTAATTTAGAGCAAAGGCATATAAACCATATTATAATTACAGAAATTTTCTACATATTTCAGTGTAAAAGTAATGCTATAATTGTCAGAAAGCACAAGTAAGGAAAAGAGTAGAAGAAAATGCAGTGGTCTTTATTTTCTCATCATTTTACATCACACGGGAATCAGGAAATAGAGCCTAAAGTTGCAGATTTTTTTTTAAGGGGGATTTAAAAATTGCTCCTGTCCTGAGTTATTGGTAACGTGGGTAACATGCCTAAGCGCCAGCAGTGGGACTGAGGAATGGGATCTGAAATAGCTCTGTTCTTCATCCTGCCCTATACTCATTCAGGAACCTCCAAGCCAGTGTCACAGACAAGTTATTCACCCAACTGTATACGTGAAACCTGTGACCATTGCATGGAAGGCAAAGCACAGGGAAGGAGGAAAGATGACAGATCAGAGATCCGATCCTGTGTGGGGAGTGGAGGGCAGCATGCAAGCAAGGGGCGACCTGAGCAATGATGCTTGTGTGGGAACCGAAGGATGAACAAGCGCCAACTCATGACGGGAGGGCAAAGAGGCTCGCAGGCCGAGGGTGCACCGCAGAAGCCACAAGGAGGATCACTTGAGGCATCGGGGTGGGGTGGGGGATGGGTGGAGCACGGGAGATTTTTAGGGCAGGAGAGCTATTCTACGTGACACCGTGGTGGTGAATACGTGACATGATGCATCTGTCAAAACCACAGATGTACCACACACCAGGAGTGAACTCTAATGTAAATTAGGGACTTTCCTTAATAATGTGTCAATATTGGTTCACTATTTGTAACAAAGGTACCACACTAATGCAAGATAATAGGGGAAACTGCTAGCAGGAGCGGGGGTATATGGGAACCCTCCATGTCATCTGCTAAATTTTCAGTAAATGTAAAACTGCTCTAAGCATAAAGAGTATTGTTATTTTTTAAAAGTCTCTCAATGACCTTTCACTTTCTCATCCCTTCAGTGGGACTAACAGCAATGTGCTGGTGCGTTTAAAACCTAGGCCAGCAGATGAGCGGTACCACACACGGAGAAACATGCAGCCATTTCTGAGCAGCCTTTACAACCTTGTTCTGCTGTTTGTTTTTTTTTTTTTTTTTTGCGGTACGCGGGCCTCTCACTGTTGTGGCCTCTCCCGCTGCGGAGCACAGGCTCAGCGGCCATGGCTCACGGGCCCAGCCGCTCCGCGGCATGTGGGATCTTCGCGGACCGGGGCACGAACCTGTGTCCCCTGCATCGGTAGGCGGACTCTCAACCACTGCGCCACCAGGGAAGCCCCTTGTTCTGCTTTTTTCCCCCTAAAAAAAATAAGGTTTTTAAATTTTAAGATACGAGCCACCTTTATTTCTTTCTTTAGAATCTTTTCCCTAAGTCGATTTACATTGATAGCTTGCCACATGAGTTTTGGGTTTTATTTCTCCCTACTACCTTCCGTTATAGAAATAATTCTCTCTGAAGATACAGATGCTAAATACAATACAAATTATCATCCAGAGATGCCAAACGTAACACTTTAACAACTTTGGAAAGCAATAACAAAGCCTCTTTTCTCATCAAAGGAGTTCATGAGAGAGGGTATTGCAGAAATTCTGATTTCCTTAGAACCGCTTTGGCTTCAGCAGTGAAGGGATAGGAATGATGGTGATTTTTCACAGTGGCGGATCCCAGCCTGATGAGGGCTGTACCGCCAGGGTCCCCATCAGAAAGCACAGCGTATCAGAGGAGTTGCAGGTGACCCATAGTCTTCTGGGCTCTGGGACCAAGAAGGGCAGGGATGCACTCCTGGACCAGATGGCTCCACCTCTGTCTCTGGAAATGGTGTTCTCTGACAATGAGACCTGTGACTTCTTCATTTCTCATCAAAGGGGACTCGTGTCCTTGGGTTGTCTTATTTTCAGTCTGTTACGGTTAATTCCTATCTTCTAATTGAAGACTTTCCTCCCTCTGTTTGTGGCCTGCTTAATGGTTTGGTAGTGGTCAGCTGAACACATTACCATGTTTGGTGCTCTGGCTAACTGCAGTAAAGAATGATAAAGGAAATAAGGAATGATTTCTCAACTCGTGCATATTAACTCCCTAGGAAGATTCTTCAACTTGTATCATATAATGCCAAGGCAACAGCACAAACACATGTTAAGCTTTATGATCCCGGGGTGGGAGGGTGCTGTTAAAAACCCCACTGGGGGGCTTCCCTGGTGGTGCAGCGGTTGAGAGTCCGCCTGCCGATGCGGGGGACATGAGTTCGTGCCCCGGTCCGGGAAGATCCCACGTGCCGCGGAGCGGCTGGGCCCGTGAGCCACGGCCACTGAGCCTGCACGTCCGGAGCCTGTGCTCCGCAACGGGAGAGGCCACAACAGTGAGAGGCCCGCGTACCGCAAAAAAAAAAAACCAAAAAACAAAAAAAACCCCACTGGTTTAAATGACACAATGGTAAGCTTTCTCTTCTAGCCTTGCTATGTATTCATTGCCTTCCTCATTATTTTAAGATTTAACAGACTTTGAAAATTTCATTCTGGGACCTAAAAAGTCCCAGATAGGTATTTGCCTACAATCAAACAATGAACAGTTTTTCCTCTCATTCCAAAAAGGTGTTTAGCCACAAGTGAATGGTCTTTGTGTTTATAAATATACAAAATTTAGCTTTGTATGGTTAACAGAGAGCAATACTATGCTTTTCTCCTGTATCCTAAAGTCTATGTGACATGTTTACAGTGGACAACAAAAGGAATTTTTGTTCATCCCTCAGATTTCTCAATTCATAATGTACACTAGCCTATATGGGATTTGACACAGGCAGGCATGCAGCCTGACAGTAAAGAACTTCCCTAAAGATTTA